AGTTAGAAGGTTGTATAATAAGTAATCAAACATTGTTTTTTCTTTTAGTAAGAGCAATAATTCTTCATGCTGATTTCTATTTATATTGTTTGATATTATAAGTTTGTTAGATAATAAGATTGAACCAGTTGAGTAGAGAGTTAGATAAGAAGATAAGAAAGTTGTTAGTTAGTTTTTTTAGAATTAGTTAAAGTTGTTTATATTGGTCAAGTATTATTATGTCTTGAATAAGTAGAAGTATTGTATTATATATAGTAAAGTTTGAAGAGAAATTTTGTAAGTTGAGAATTTGAATTATTGTATATAGTAAAGCTTCAAAAAAATTTAAAAAGCTTAAAATATTAGTAGTTTTATTGATAAGAATGTTTTGTAAATTGTAAGTATAAAGTAAGCATTGAAGAAAATGTTTAGTATTTTCATATTGGTTACAATAAGAGCAATTTGGAGTTAAGTAAACTAGAGGATAGTAAATATTTAAATTTGACATTGTTGGCAAGTTATTAAAGAGAATTTTATTTTTAATTAAATAAAGTTTCAAATTAGAATTTTAAAAGTTAATAATCTTAGTAAATAGTAAGATGTTTATAGTAAAAAGATTTAATAGTAGTTTAAGTTAAAGAAGTTTGTTAAATGTTTGAATAGAAAAGAGATTTTTGCAGAATTTACAAAGTTTGTATATAATTGGTATTTCTTTATAAGTAAAGAAGATAGATAAATAAAGATAGTTAAGGTTATATTTTAGCTTTATTTTTTTAGTACTTTGTTTAACTAAGACATCAGCAATATTATGTAAAGTGTTATTTGAATGTGATTTAACTTTGTGCATAATATAATTTATATTTTTAAGTTTGGTTAGATAGTTTAGAATATGGATAATATCTTAGTTATTTTATTTAGTTTGAAAATTGTAGTTATATAGTATTAAATTTGTAAGAGTTTGTATAATTGTCTGAAGTATAATGAAGGACACTCTGTTTTTATTTTTTATTTTTTATTTTTTTTTAAGTTAAAGTCCCTATCTTGGGAGTTGTGATGTTTTTATTCAAGTATATTAGAACATGGAATGCCACCAGAGGCTCACCTTACATTGGAGGTTACAACTAGCCATATGTGCACTTTTGGTGCCTAATTTAAATAGTCCATTTACATATTATTATATAAGTTTTACACTAGTTGCTATACTTGCAAGCCAACTAGGGGTCTTGCCTATTTAAACCCTCTGCATATGCAGTCCTTTTTGTATTATGAAAACATCTCAAGGTGCTACCTATTCAAGTTCCTGATGCTTATCGGTCTCCTTAGGACTACTTTATCCTTGATAAGAAACTTACTAGAGCCTTTATGTCTCACACATATAGATCTAGTTTTATGCAACATGCTATAGTTATCTAACACTTGCAGTTACAGAGGTTACCTGTTTAACCACTACATTACACTATTTCTACTCTTGTAAAGTTTACTAGAACCCCAGTATCTATCTTTTCAGTATCTTCTTCATTATTCCTTACTAGCTGCAACTCAGAACTGTTGGTCTCATTCCAGACTACCAATCCAGATGGCCTGGTATGGTATACTTCTGTATCCTTTTCCTCTAGCAAACCTGGCAGCCTGGTTGGTTATATGCTCCTTTATACATATTTGCCATCCAGTTTTAATCTTTGGTTCCTATGAAGGTGTTTTATAGGCTTCAATCGGTCTAAGGATACCATTGAAAGTTCATGCTACCTCTTTACTCGAGAATTTCCAAATGGGTTTCTGTCACCTCGGTTCCTTAGTCTTCTACGCTCAGTGGACTTATTATGGATTTGTACTGAAGTCTTATACAACACTGGTTAACATTCCTCTATGTACATGTAACATTATACTTCGCATAGATGTCTTGAGCTCCCAAAGCCAGAGAACCTGACCTGGTGTACCTGAGTAACAGCCACATAAGGCCAACTAATCGACAGGAGATAGTTATCATAACACAGATATAATTTCCAAATTTTATCGTAGGTGAGATTTGAACCTTAGACCTGCCACTTGAAGGATTACAACCTAACCATTACACTAGGATCATTATCCTCTAATTTTACAATTTATAAAAATTTTATTTTTATATAATTAATATTTTATTATTTACTTTATTTTTATTTTTATTTTTTTAGTTTTTAAAATGACTCTATTTGGTCTTTTAACTTTATTAATACTTTTGTTAAGCATTATAATAAGTGTACAACTGGCTACATATATAAATTTTTATATTATCTATTTAAGAAGTTCATCTAAAGGTTTTCTATTAGTTGCTATACCTAATATTTCTGCTTAGATGTTTCTTTTAAACCTTCTAATTCAAAACTCTTGTACTAACTTTACTAGATCACTTGTACCTAAATCTTCATCTTAACCTTAGAACAATTTTATTCTTAAGCTAAACCTATCAAAGTAAGTTATATATTCTCTATCTACTACTAATTTAAATTTTTTGTTATGGTTAAGATCAATACTTGCAGTTAGAGTTATCTGTTAAACTGCTATTATTCTTGTAAAGTTTATTCAAATTCTGGTATCTGTTTTTTCTGATGTCTTCTTTATTATTTTTTACTAACCACAACTTAAAACTAACAGACTTCTTAAATTTTTAATTCAGATGGCCCAGTATGGTATACTTATGTATCCTTTTCTTCTGATGATTCTGGCAACTTGATTGGTCATATGCTCTTTTACACATCTTGTTATCTAGTTTATTTGACAATTTTTATAAAGATATTTTATAGGCTTCCATTGGTTTAACAACATTATTAAAAGTTTGTGCTATCTCTTTACTCAGGATTTTTAAGTAGGTTTTTGTCTTTTTAGTTTCTTAGCCTTTTACACCTAGTGGTTTTATCATAAGTTTGCACCAAAGTTTTATACAACACTGATCTTTTATATTTCTTTATGTATATGTAATATTATAATTCATATAGATGCCCTAAGCTTTCAATATCAGGTTGAATTCAACTTGATATATCTAAGATTACAGATACCCAAACTCAACTAATTAACAAAAGACAGTTACTATATCATAATTATAATTTTTAAAATTTATTATCTATAAGAATTTAATCTTTAGATCTGCCATTTTTTTTACTTTTGCTAAGGCCATAGTTATCGGTGATTATTGCCTTTATTGTATTTTAATTATAATTATATAACTTGTACAAGGTGAGTATACAACTAGCCATATATACAACTTTTGGTTGTCTAATTTAAGTAGTCCACTCGCATAGCAGGTTCTACACTAGCTGCCATACTTGCAATCTACTAGAAGATTACCTATTTAAACACTTTGATCCCTATACTTATACCAACAAATAGCACACAAGTTTCTATACACCTAAGTGCTGTTTAACCTAATTATAACCTTTCTGTTTGTACATCCATCAAGTTATTACACATTTCAGAGAATGTCACCTGACTTGTAGGGCTTCAGGAGGTCCCTCTGCTAACTAACTACCTATATTTAGTATCTTGTTAACAGGGCTCACCCTTGCAGAGTTTACCTAGATCTCAGTACTGACTTCACAGCATATTCCTAGTACTTTAGTATACCCCTGTTTCTGATCTCAGACTCCCAATCCAGATATCTCAGTAGGACTGTAACCTGTCCCTAGTACCCCAGAGTCTGTCTTCTAAGGTTTTTTTTTCTCTGGTTCAAGACTTATGGCAGTCTGGTTGATGGTACCTAAAGATGAAAACATTTCTTAGGGTAGTCACTACCTACAGCATTACGGCTATGACGTGAAGGTAGTACAACCCCAGGGTCATATTGTCATTAAACCGTATGTGGTAATAGGGTAGTATGCCATAAGTGTAGTAATAGAGGTGCATGACATGATAGGTGTTATGTGTCGTAATAGGTGTCATGTGCCATAATAAATGTCATATACCATATTATGTGTTGCAACTAGAAACTGTACCTATGTAAACATGGCAATAATAAATTATCCAGATAACCAGATATTTTAATCATACTGGGTAAAAATTTTCTTAATGGGTACACACATATGTATACTACATGCCCAACCTGAAGAGCGATAATACATATTAACCTTTTTACTTACTAATTTGGATAAATAATAATATAGTCAACTCTATACATATAACTTCTTTATAGCGAAATATAACAATAGCTTTTGAATCTTAAAATAAAATGGTTTACATTTTTTAGAACTTATGATGTTTAATACTGGAACAAGCTTGTCGATTGTTTCTGGGCTGATTAGCATAGGACTTTTAGAGATGGCAAATGTTTTAAAACATGATCTTAAAAATCATATTTGTTAGAAATGTTGCATCATTTATAATTACGTATATTTTTACTAACATTCAAAAAAAAAAAATCTAACTCCTCAAAATAATGTTTCATGTTCGTGGAAGACCTTTAAAAGAAATCCATTAAACTTCACAAAAGTGATATGGTTGAAAAACACATTGCAGTGTAATAATTTCGCCTTATGTGGAAGTGCTTTTTACAACAGGAAACATACTCAGTCCAAAGTGAATCCCTCACATCTGTGATTAATTACGATTCAGATTATTTATATCAACCTTAATTGTGATGAATATCATCTATCACTGATTTTAATAAATGTGTAACATTAATGTTTCCTCTTGTTGCTTTTTACCCTGTATGTGACCGATTAAAAGGTTAATTATTATATAATAAAATGTAAATATAATATATTAGCAGTTTTTCTATCTGACTGATATTCTTTTATGTACTGTACATACGTATGTACAGCTATTGAAAATCCTTTCTGGGAAGAATTTATGGAAGCACATTATACATCTGTATTATGTTAGTCCTAATCAACGTAATTTAGAAAATAATCTAAAATTCTAATATGTATTAAAAGTGTCTTACTGTACATATTAAAATATAAATATTTCATAATTTCTTACGTAGTAGAATTTATTAAACCTCAAACATTTATTTGATGATCTTTATTATTAAATTGAGCATACAGTATAAACTATTCTGCCTGCTTTTCACCTTCTAAAAAATTATTTAATACATCAGAAGGATTATAATCTAAATCCTCAGGCAAGACGGCTTGAGCTGTTTCTACTACAGAAGATTCCGAATTGTTTTCTGTCTTCAAGTCAATAATCTCTCCAATTAATAAAGTTGGAGAATAATTAGATACTATGTTATATGACAAAGTCTCATCATCAACTCTTATTTGATCCTTCTCATAATTTATAACAGTACCAACTAAAGATATATTACATGCATGTTGAAGATCTGACTCTGCTAATTCTTTATCAGAATAGTTAAGCTCATACTGAATATTTGTCATATAGTAAGATCTAATTTTAGACATTTCTTTTAGTCTATTTATATCCAGATTAGTTTTACGATCACCTAAAATCTACTTTAACTATGAGAAATTTCTTTTGCAGCTAGCTTGTGTAGGATTAATTGAAAATATTCTATAGGCTAGCTCAGCTAAATGTCGAGGTTGATTTTTAAAAGATCCCTATCAAAGTTTTGGAGTATCTGTGCCTAAAACATAAGGAAGATCGAATGGTGGCAATCGAGCTTCAAACTGTCGCATTTGTGCAATTAGTTCTTTACCTTCTAACCAAGTATGTCCAAGATTTTGTCAGAGTTCAAGAGATGTAAGAGCTGCCTTACAAAACCCACTATCCTTTAGATCTTTTCCTAAAAATTTATAAATTATTTAAATTATGACATATATACAGTATATATATGTTGTACCCGAATTGGAATCTGTCCCGATTCAGAACTAGGGTAAATTTCAGTAGTGATTTTTATGTAATTTGTAAGAAATAAAATCATACTATTATATGATTCCATGTGATTGATTGGGTCATAGTTATCGATTTTTGATCAGTAAACTTTATGCAAAGTCTATAATGCTAGCTAAGTTTCTTATAATGCTGATACTTCATATTACATGTGAAATTTACATGAAAATCAAGTTTCTGAAATTTACATGAAATGTAAAAATGTAATTTTTGTAATACAACCCTATTTAGAACTGTCCTGGATGAGAATTTTGTAATTTTGACCTGAATTATACTAGCTAAAATTAAAAACTTTAATTCTGCCAAAATAATTCACAAGATTTCTATCTGGGGCAGTTCAATTCTGAATCGAGATGATTCCAATCTGGAGTACAATATACACATATAAATCAAACTAATAACTACCTTGATACATATATATTTAATATACAATATTATAATAAAAATATATATATTTAGTTAGTGATCTTCAAAACCTGCTTGCTAATATGTAGGATGTTGAATAATATACGTATACTTAATTATGCATATTTCTATATTGTGGATGAATGTAATATGCTAAAATGTAAAGTAGATGTAAAAATTCATCATATTATCGATTAAAAATATGAATTGCAGGATTCTTAAATGTGTTCATTTCAGGCAAGCATTCAATAGCTGCAGCTAATTTAATTAAATAAGCAAAACAATCGGCTAATGTTGCTTCATTAGTTTCTAGTACATAGATCACTTCTTTAATCAGTTGCCAAACAGAATGCACAAACTGACACATAATAAAGAAGTTTTCATTAGCTATTAAATTAGCTATTTCTTGATTGGTAATTGAACCGTTATGCTCAGAAAGTAACTAAAAATTAAAAATTATTTTTATTAATAATTATAATAAAAAATATTTAAATATGTACTTATATAGATATGGGTCTAGTACGAAATTCCAATATACAAAATCTCAACAGGCCATAATACTGACATCATGCAATGTGAAAATTAATATTTAAAGATTGTAATCATATTAACAATTATTGTCAAACTTCAAAATTTTAATTGCCACATCGCGTGATGTCAGGATTATGACCTGTCGAGATTTTGGGTGTCTGAATTTCATACTAGACCCTATAGAGATAATTATATTTACCTAATCAAATACGGGCCATGCATGAAGCATTAAATCAGTAGTACAATATAAAGACCCCTAGTGAGTCTTTATCCAAGTTTTTAGTCTGCCACCTTTAATTTTCATATCTGTAAATCCTTTAATAAGCAATGAATAACTCGAATGAGAAAAATTGAAAAAATTATTAATTTTTCCACAATTAGCTATTAGTTTTTTTAATTGGTCCAATTTGACCAAATCAGTGGCAATAAGATTGATCGCGTGCACTGCACAACGCACATTCCAAATATGTGGATACATTGCTTGCGTTTTTTGACATGCTAAGTTACAGTTTGAAGCCACATCTGTTACAACAGCTGCAAACTTATCTGAGCCAAGTCTTTCAATAATACTTGATATTTCATTTGCTAAAAATTCACCCATCTGAGAATGTAAAGAATAATTTTTTAAATTGATCAGATATTCTTTTCATGTATCTGTTGTAATCATATAATTATAAATTGACTCTATTGTTGACGACGTCCAGCCATCTAAAGCTTTACCAAACAAAATAAATACAATTTAATAATATGCAACAATATATGCATCTGCATATTATTTCAATCATTTGTTTATTAATAAATTATACATGCATAATTTCAGCATACTACTTTATAAAAAATAATTGTTGTGCAAATTATATGATATGTGAAGTACCGTATAATATTCTGAATACAACACAAAATCCTAGTACCTGGGTATTATACTTGAAAACTTTTCATATAAAAATTTTTTTACATAAGATATATATCCCTGGGTATTTTGCATTCGACCATATGAATAATTTTTGAAAAGGGTGCTTTGATATAGGAGGATAATATGATCAGGCTACACTAGAATTTCCAGAGTACTGTGGTACTGAGGTGGCAAAAACTGTGCAGAATAAAAATTATTGGTAAATATAGCCTATTGTAATAAGATTAGATAAAATTAGGCTTTCTTTTTGTTGTAATTTTGTTTTTTAAAGTATTACTTATACATCACTGCAGAATTTGCCAATTTAATGATAATTGCAACAGTACCCTGACACTCTAGACTATATGGTAATTTTTAATTAAGTGAAAATTAAAGTTAAAATAAAATTGTTACATCACTTATTTGAAAATAAATACGTTATCTATTTAAATAAGATCACTTATGCCTTGTGCAAATCATACAACTTATTTTACTTCACATATACAAACAAAAATATACTAACCTAATGTTAAATAGTCAGCTTTATCTATTTTCTTATCAATTGCACAATTAACCTGCACTATTTCTTCATCTAGTAGTCAGCCTGATAAAGTTATTCTTGATGGTAGATTATATGCAGGTAAAAATTCTTTAAACATATCTTTAATAAATGGGTTTTCAATAACCTCAAAAGGAATTCCTGCCATTACCCAAGCTTTAATTATTTTTTGATCAAGTCAATTAACTGCAGTATTTGGTAATGGATGATCAGATAAAAAATGAGAAGTTATTGCTGTTTGGTTTGATAAGTTTTTGTTTCTTCACGTATAATTAGAATTTCTTTCCGCTACTTTCTCTCGCCAATATCACGATATATTGTCAGGGCAATTAGGACAATCGTTTGCTAAATGCGCTTCTAGCTTGGCTGGTTTTCCTTTTGACCAGGATTTTTTAGGAACACAATAATAACAAGTAGCTTCATAATGCCCATGACTTTTTTCTGTTCCCTTAATATAATAATCCCATATTTCAAAAAACTGTTTAGATTTTTTATTTTTAGATGAAAGCTGAATATTAGAATGATTTGTTATATATTCATCTTCGAATTCTGAACTGTCTTCTGTTTCTTTCACTAACTCTTTATTTCTTTTTTGTAAATTTCTTTCGTTCATCTCCATAGCTAAAAATTTGATATCGCTATTGAAAATAAAAAGATCTGCTTGTATATATAAATTTATATTTTCAATAGCGGTATTAAATTTTTAGCTATAGAGACAAAATCAAACTTAAATTTTTATTTACAGGTTTAAACTTGACAATCCTTATATATTGTACTAATATAGGATTCCTTAAACATCTTGCAAACAAATTTGCACGTGAAAACCAATAATTAAAGAGATTTGCTTGTATATAATTTTATACCTATAATTATTATTATCTAATTATTGGTTTTTGCATGCAAATTTATTTACAAGATGTTTAAGGAATTCTATATTAGTACGATATATAAGGATTGCCAAGTTTAAACCTGTAAAAAAAATTTAAGTTTGATTATTTCCGAACTTAATCCTAGAAAATTGTGATATTGTATATTTAAAGTATATACGCAATTATCATTCTGATTATTTTAATATATAGTACATATGTATGTATTACTTTGGTAATATTTATAGTATAGATATTCTTGTGTTATTTTTCTATAATCTGTTCAGGAATTAATCTGATACCAAGAAACTTGATATCGAATACCCGATAGACCAAATATTAATGATTTTAAGTACCATACATATAGTTGTACTATTATATTTGGTTTTATCAAGTTTTTGCATAATTGTGTCGAGCTCTATTCAATATCGATACAATAAAAACTGAATATTTACATATTTTAATTTAGAAACACACATATTAATATCCCATTTACTATCACTCAAGGTTTAATTCTGGCCAATCAGTAAGATAAGGCATAACGTGAAAACAGAAAACCACTTTATTTTTGAACAATTAATTTCAAAAGAAACCACCTGCATACTAACAAAAAACCAATATGCAATTTAAGGTTAAGATTGGAGCGAATTTAGAATGCTTATCGATTTATGCAGAGATCAGGTTCGAACCAGGCTTTTTAAAAATTAGTTCAGAACTGTCCAAACTAGTTCAACAAAAAAATCGAATGCCATGATAATTAAAGTTATTTGACTTAGGTTCAAATATATAATTTATCACTGAGAGTTGTGGGTCCCATAGCTTAGCAGTTAAGCTCCTATGTCCCCACAGTCAAGATCAACAGTTCAAGTCCGGCTGGAGGCAAAATTAAAAAGATTTTAGCTTCTGTAACCCAATAAGGAGCCAGTAATTGAATGCAAAGCCCTGTGGTTAAGTCCAAGTGCAGTACATGACCAAAATAGGAATTCCCAGAAGGAGACCCAATCATAGAGTGCAGGCACTATGTGTAACAAGCGGCTGTTACAGAAGGTTACAGTTATGGAAAGATTGCACATGTAAGTCCTTTAGGC